CCCCAAAACCCCAAAACCCCAAAACCCCAAAACCCCAAAACCCCTGGCTAGTTATGTTTTATAGAATTTATTTTAAGGTTTTTGGAAGGAAATTAAACATGCAGACTGGTAAAGTTGTAAACATAAGGTATAATAAGCCTCCATTGGCTAAAAGAAGAAATATTTATAAGAGAGAATTAATGAGCTTTATTGATGAGGATGTTGTAAGTCTTTGGGTGTGATAGTGGAGTTGTGAACGATAGCAAGTTTGACTAGATCAGTACTTTTGGCTAATTTTCAACAGCAAGATTAGGTTATTTGTTATTTTAGCAATTTTGAGAGATGGGGATAATTTTGATTTAGTTCCAAAAATAGCTATGATTTAGTCGCTACTAAATATGCACTGAAAAAGTAAGCAACTTTTGTTACTAAAACAAGCTATTGAAAAATTTAGGCCTAAAAGAAACAAAAAGAACGGAACTTCTGTTAACAGTGCATCATCGAGAAGTAAGGCTCACAATAAACTCTTAAGAATATTTAATAACACTTTATTTCTAGGAAAAACTAAAGTAACTGCTCCAAGTCTGCACTCATATGAGGCATCAAGTAAGAACTGGCTAGTTACCCTTGCCCATATTTCTTTCTATCTTACATTCTAGGCATGAAATCAATCAACGATGCTCAATATCGTGCAGAGAGGCTGTGAAGCCCTATTTTAGCAAAACTTGAGCGAAAAAGTACTTAAATCTATCATTAATACACAGAGGAGCAAATATCTGAAGAGAGGTGGAGCCCGATAAAGCTGAAGACTCCTTCTCTAGCAAAGACTTCTATATTCCACAACCTGAGCAAGGATCTTTACAGCGGAATGTTCTCTACAATGGAATCGTAAATTCTCAACTTAGAATTTAGAAGCGAAGGAGTCATGCTTCGATGTAGCCAACCATTGGTAAATATGGCTAAGAACAAAGCCCAGCTGAGAGAGGACCATAGTATAATCTCAAAGCTAATTTCAGGGAATAATCAGAATACTGAGACCATTAAGCCTAAACAAGGTTGGTACTTTCACTCAAATTTAGTTAACAAAATTAGATCAGTGAACAAAATCTGGGCAAATTTTAACAATACCAAGAAGTTGGTCAAGAAGTTTAAGAAACCCCTGGACTTGTTCAATGCAAGGCTTCGGAAGAGAAAGAACCAGAAGTCCAGTGTGCTCAAGCCAAGGATTATTTCTATCATGAAATTGGAGACTTTAAAGGAAAAGGCAGCATTGAGGGATAAATCTTAAATTTCAACTTGATATTTTTGCCTGGGGTTTTGGGGTTTTGGGGTTTTGGGGTTTTGGGGTTTTGGGG